AATTCACTGGGTCGTGTGCCGCGAATCAAGCCCGCCTCTGTGCAGCCACCGTGAAGCCCAGCGGGGCCGACGGGCCCGGCTTTGTGTCGGCGGAGGCCGAGTTGTTCCCCACGCCTGAGCTCCCGCCACCTCCCCAGTCTGCGCAGCCGCTGCGCGCTCCGGAGCCGAGGGGGGACTGTCACCGCCAACGCCGACGGGCTTCCCCGGCGCGGGGGAGGGGTGTCCCAACTTCAAAAGGGTACCCCCCAGTCCTTACACACACCCTTCTCCGCTCCTCCTCCCCCACTCCGGAAAACCAGACCCCTCCCATCAACCCACACCTGAGCGCTGCTCCCCGGGGCTGCCACGCACCCGGAAATCTGGCCCAACAGGGCGCCTGAGGCTGATCGCCACTGCAGCCCGCAGGCCCGGCCCCTCGCCGCCTCCTGCCCCCTCAGAGCCCCCTGGCACCCGCGGCCTGCGGGGAGAGGTGCGTCTGTCTGCGCTCTCCCTCTCCGAGTTAATATTAACCAGGAGCTCATGCGTTCCTGAACTGCTCTGAAAGTTCCACTGGGGACGATCTTGCCATGGTTGAGGGACTTGGGCGGCAGTCACATTAGAGAGACAGAGACACACAGAGACGGGGGAGGAGGGACACGCACCTGAGAACAGAGTCTAGGCGGTTATCTTAAGTGAGGGCCGGCGGGTGAGCAGGTGCCCCAGGAGCCCGGGAGGCGTTGCCTGCTCCCTCTCCCCGGGCCCTGCCCTCGCCGCCCAGGTCCCCCGCCTTCCCCACTGCAACTCTCAGGATCAGGGACGCAGGAAGGACGCGGAAGGGATAAACCGAGGGGCACCTTTCAGGCCGCCCCTCCTCCCAGCCATCCAGGTTTTTAGGGGACACTTGTGGGGTCCGTGGTGCAGTCCTGGCCCGGCCCTCCCCACCCCACCCCCACGCTGGCTGCCCCTCCCCCTCCTTTTGTGTCGGGAACGGGAATAGCCACTGCCCAAGGAAAAAAGTATTTGTTTTCGTTTCGTTCGTCTGAGGGAAGTTGACAGAAGGTCAGAAGTTCAAACGCTGCCAGCGCA